GAGCAAACAGCTCCCCAATATCAACAGGGTGATCTGGACCAGAGAAAAACTGTCCTGACACTAGAATTCCTCCTCTGAATTCAAGCCTTTGAAGCCAAGTTATATGAAAAGTGTTTTTAATTCCTTACTTGTTACGATGACCAAGAAAAGTGTTTGTTTGCTATAGTAAGAAACAAAATTGCAGTAAGCAGTGCAATCAACATCTTTGATCTGAACACTGCCTGTACTTCATTAAACCTTGAATTTAAAATTAAGCTCTGGAAGATAAACTGAAGTAACCCATCATGCAGTCTCAAGAGAGGCAAGCGTGGCAGGAAAAGCTGGTATTAGAGTGGTAGCACCGGCACAAGTTTGGATTAAGCACATTGTGAAACTGAACCTAATCTGTATACTGCTAGGAAAATGGAAAGTCTACTCTCGACTGCTCTATCGCTTCAGATCAAGCAGATATGCTGAGTCAAATTATTTGGCTAATTGACCAAAAACGGTGGCAGAGGAAGTATGTGTGTGAGACACACTGGTTTCAGTCACATCAAAAAGTGGATTCAAATCACTACGTGGTCACAAAACCCCATGAAAGTCAGAAGGCAAGAATGCATGTCCTGGGACAGTAATCCCAAATTACAAAATGCATCCCAAGAATTCACCAGTGTAAGAGACAGTTAGCAAGCAGTTATTTTAACAGAAATAGTTGCACTTACTCTCCTTCCTGAACAAGGTGGCATTACTAATTTCAAGTAGGTGCTACAACCTGTCATAGAGCAGGCATTAATGAATCTGGTCCCTGGACAGTGGCATCACCTAATAGCTACTGCCAGATGGGATAAAGGGCTGGATGAACCCAGCTCAGCAATGCATCACTTCAACATAAGTACACTAATGTTCCTTACTTTATGTTCAACAAGTTACTTTTCTAAAAAAAATCTGAAATGCTGGGTTTAAGCTCCATGTTTATCAAGCTCTCAAGAACTACCAGTTGAATTTGATACAGCCACACAAGAGTGAGTGATCTCAAGTCTGAGGTTATTTCCCAGTACGTTTCATTTTTGGCTCTGGTAGGCAAGCTTGCTTTTTGTGTTCCTAATACAAAGCATCCAACTTAAGAAAAAATAAGGTTTAGTATTTACTCTTGAGAAAATAGCAAGTAAATACAGCTGTTAACACACAAATCTAAAACAAAGACCTAAAAAACAGCTTATCACATACACGTTATAAAGGACTTCACAAAATAATTCAGAAATTGGAATGCGGACATACATGCAACGATATGCCTTAAACAGATGTTCAGCCTTTGAATACGTTTGTCACTAACAAGTAAGGAGCCACGTCATGTCCATCCCTCCACCCAATACAGTTGAACTCCTCCCCAGGAGGATGTCCACGTGACCACAACTTGTTTCTAGTATTCCAAATCTCAGCTGCAACTGAATTGCCCAGGAAATAGCAGAATTTTTTTTATTTTTTTAACATGAAAGAGGAACCTGAAGCCACTTCTTCCACAGAATGAGAATGCTTTAAATCAGTATTACGTCTTTCTTGCATGTAAACTGTAATTTTTTTTTGCGGATAATGCAGCATGTGTGACTTAAGCAGATTTTCTGTCACTGTTAAATTAGCCCACATTCAAGTTTGATGGCATTCCCTTTCCCCACAACTCCCAAACACCACAAGTTAATAGGCATTTATATTTTTAAATATTACAACTTCTTCAACACATGGCAATGGCAGATACTAAGAATCTTGTAAAACTTTAAACGGTGCTTGCAAAACTGGCTGAGGAAGTGTGCTTCTCTGAAAAAAAAAAACCCAAACCAACCCTTAAGTTATTTTAAATCCATTAATATTTGTTTGTCAATAGTTTCCTCAAACATTACCTCACCCAACAAGCAGGCAGATACAGTTCCGAGAGGGCCACCCCTTGTTCTATCCAAAGAACATTTAGGACACCCAAGAGCAATAAAATGTTTTAGCAGATTATCATCCTGCAGGTCAGCGAACTCCCCAGCGTGACTCATTTCCCACCTGTCAGCTCCAGAGGAAGCAGCCCAGGCAACGGAGAGTAAGACGCCAAGCTGCAATACCTATTTGGTAAACGCCTGCAGACTTTGGACTATTTCTTTTTAGGTGATGCCCAAACCTGCATATGCAGACAGCTAGCAGGGCCACCAGCAGCTATCGCTCACTCCAAACAGCACAACGGACGCGTGGTAACATGTGAGGTGGGGAAATTGCATTGATCAAAACACAATTCTTCAGTTATTTTTAAACCACTCCACTGCATGTAACTGGATCAGAACCATTTTGTCCGCCCCTCTTCTTCACCCCAGAGAGGAACCTGTAATCCCAAAGTGACCGAAGGAAGGGAATGTCAGCATCACCACATCAGCAGCTTAAAACTTAACTCTAAATAACATGCTGTATCCTACCTTCTCCAACGATCCATGCCTGCCCTAACTGTGGATCTCGAGTGCTATGTAGTCCTCCTGTCCCTCCACCACTTTGCAAAAACGCTTTTGTAGGAATACTACTACACAAGGAAAAAAGTTGATTAAACAGGAACTGTAGACGGTCTTGTTCCTCCTCCTCCATAGCTTTTGTATTAACACCAATCCCCACCTTTTTGTTTTACTCTTTCTGTACTGCAGAGCATGTCCTTGAGAGACTCCCAGGTACAAGTGAACTGTCAACTCCGGATGAGTTATGCCAACAATATTTAGACAGATAGCTTCTAAAATCTGCTGGAAAAATAGAACCGCAAATAACTAAACTCTCAGCATTTAAAAAAAAAAAAAAAGGAAAAAAAAAAAGCAACGTCACCTTTTGTATTCCCCTTCCTCCATTAAATTAAACAGCATCAACTAGAAGATCCATCCAAAATTAGACCTGACCATTCCAGCAAAATATTAATTTTAAAAAAGCAGTTCTTATTGAAAGCTGATGATTTAATTGCTTTTATTTTCATGCTTAAAGACAGAAATATAGTGTACTCGGGGCAGGGGGTGAGAAAGCTAGAGATTAAGTAATTTGTTCAGCAATACAGTGGAAATAGCTGTTAATGAAAATCCATCATACTTGATAAAACAAATGAGGAGCAGAGAGGTAATGCCCTAAGATTCCTCAAGAATAAAAACAAGATAGCACTCTATCAATACAGACATAGACAGCTAATCACTAACAGGATTCACATGGCGTCTCTAGGACTACAATCACCATAACCAACACGCTCAAAGAGGCAAAAGTTTATCCCTAAGCTGTAGGTGTAGCACTGCACACGTAAGTGTTGCCAACTGCATAGACTTCCGATCCCTTCGTCTTCCATTACGAATTCTTCTGCCTTGAACAGTTTAACTGCATTGTCATGGTATTCCTCACCCCAATTCTCTTAAGAGAAGGAACTTGGTATTTCATTTGAGTAACAAAATCTCTAGATTTGGTTTTCTAATATGCCTAAGAAAGAAAAAACTAAGGTCCTTTATCAATACCTTCAGGTCCAAGTTATTAAAAAAAAAAAAATCAGCCTAATTACCTTTTTGTGTAGGTGGTTGCAGCACTGCTGACTGATGCATGAAACAGAATTCTGAAGTACAGGGCAAAACAAGTAGTTAATTATATTGAAATGCATTTATAGCAAGTTTAACAGGGTTGTGACCAAGTAGACAGAAGGGACATTTCAAATCAGCTAAGTCTCAGCTGCTCCCCTTTTAAATCTCTGTTGTTCTGGATGCTCCAAGACAAGTCTTCCTTAATTTTTAGTCGATAGCTATGAACTGCTTGGCATCAAAAGGATGTGATCACGTCTTGTCTAGCATTAGTTTTCTCTGTGACAAGCTACTCCATTTAAATAGACTTTACTCTGCACAACCCTGGCAGACAGCGTTCATTATTAGAGCCAAGCAAGCTATGAATAATGTGATTTATTCTGTAATTTTTGGCTCTCTGTTCAAGATACCAACACAGATAATACATCTCTGTTAATCCTCTTTGGAAATCTTCAGCAAATTCACTCACGTGTTTAGAGCTCACTCAGCACCTCTTGAAAGAAGTTAGCAGCAAATAAGCTCTGTAGGGGTCTTAACATAGAGGTGAAATCTGTTCACTGCCTACCTATTTTCTTCTCTGTAACTCGTTTCATTATCTGCAAGAGCTATCAAAAAGTATGCCACATAACGCACTTCCAGACTGGTCCATCAGAATCCTTAACCAAGTTTCAGGTGAAAAATTAAAACAAAGTTTTTATAGAACATAATTTCAGCAGTAAATTTCTTCACAGGAACTTTCATCATCAATTGGGTGGGGAATATAAAAAAAATAGTAAGTTTCAAATGTGTGCTCCTGTCTAAGTACTGCCTTCCATGAAGTACTGTAACTAATAAAAATGGTAGAGAAGTGTCTTTTTGACTGGAGCATACAAACTGAAACTAATCATACGTGGACTAAGCTCTCAAACATGCTAGCGGGTGTGACTGAAAACAGAAAGGTAGTCAACCAAAAAGTGAACACCTACAAACCAAGAAACCAAGATAGTAGAGTGCAAAAGGGTTTTAAAAAACCACCAAGCTAAAAAAAAAACCCAAACCCAACCCCCCAAAAAAACCCCAAACCACTACACTCCACCACTTATACCGTACTAACAAACCATGAAAATCAAAAGTGCTTCCACATTCAGCATTAAGTTGAGTAAGAAAGGAACCTAAACAGCAACAAAACTGCATTTTCTTAGCACTATAGCTCAGTTAGAGAGCTCGGTCCAGCTCTAGACTCTACCCAGTAATATACTCACCAAACTTGCTTTCACGTGGAATGGACAGAAATTTTACACTCTTAAAAAACCCTCATGTATACACTACTTCAGCCAAGGTAGTATCCCCAGTGTTTGTTTCCTAGATCTGCTGTAAGTATTTAGGTCACATATTGAAGAGAAAAACGGAAGGGAAGGCTGATTATTTTTTAATCAAATATAACCCACATGTAATATTTAAAAATCAAGACTAAAAGCAGGCATCATTTAATGTATTTTAATAGCAAACTTACAGGAACAGCACAGAAGACAGACAACATTAAAAACGTACTTGCATGTAGGACAACTCAGTTAGAAAAGTATAGTGAATGGATGGAGTCTACTGTATGATAAAAATGCTACAAACACCATTTAGTTGCCATTGATAAGAAATTTACTTGTTTAAAAAAATCCAAATGCTGGCATTGTCCAGAAAAATTTGACAGGTTTATTTATAATTTTTTTTATAAAGTTGAATTGTTGAAACTTGTTCACTGAAACATTTTTTGACCGCATTGATGTTTTATGTCCCCTCGTTTATATTAAAAATCCACACACAAATGAAAATGGAAAAAAACTTGCCAATACCCAATTCTGTCCCCTATTTTTCCATTTGCAACCATATACTTAGGTACCTTTTAACCCCATGGAAAAAATATCTAACGTTCATTACTACCAATAACAGGAAGAAGATTTTGCTTCGAGAATGACAAACCCATCATAGTGAAGTTTAGGCACGCTCTCCACGTATGCGGCGTGCTAGCTGGATATCTTTTGGCATGATTGTGACACGTTTGGCATGGATAGCACACAGGTTGGTATCTTCAAACAGGCCAACCAAGTAGGCTTCACTTGCCTCCTAGTGAAGAAGAAAAGAGTTAAGAGCACTTTCAGTCTCTGAGCACTAGGAAAAAAATAATAATAATTCAAAGTACAATGTAACATGGCATTAAGTTTAGGCTTCTATCTTTATTATTTGCAAACGTCAAAAGTTTTAGATTCTCAAAAAATAAAAGCCTCCATTTTCCTACAAACCACCAAGTAATATTCTATGTCACAGTCGCATACTATTGCCATTCGGTGAAGACATCTTCCAGAACACAACTGAACCAATGTTCTGACAGGACTCTCACAAGGTAAGGGGTTATCTTATCAAAAGGTTAGTTTGTTTAGGAACTTCTCTTTTTAAAGGCTGGGTTACGCTATTTGAATGACTTGTCTGCTGCCTCTTCCAGAATAAGAGCTATTGAGCATCAAATGACATTGGCAGGTTCTAGGGAAAAGAAGAGCAGGTATTCCTTCACAACACACGGTTTGGGCACAAATCCCTTGCCACAGGATACTGAAGAGGTGGCTTAATTCAAAAGTCAAAAATTAGCAGAAAAAACGTACTGAGAATTATTAGATAGAAGACGACAACACCTTTGACTCAGGAACATCTTGAATCACCAAAAAGGAGACAGCAGTCTGAGAATTACCATCAGACACTTTTCCTATTCCTATACTTTCTTCCTGCCTAAGCACCCCCTTTTTGGGGCACACACCACAGCTCCCCCACAATCACAGAAGGTTTTCACCTCACACCTGTGAGAATCACGGGGTCAGCACTTGGGAGGGCAAAGGACAAGCCCTATCCTGGGAAAACCACAACCCTGACCGCAGTGTTTTCTCTGTTACTGAACCACTGCAGACAGGATTCTGGGTTAGACAGATGCTCCGTTGGACCTAACTGTGCTTCTGGCTCATGTTAAGTCAGCTGCTATTAAGCCCAGCACAGCCATGGTAACCATTTACACATTTTTGGGTTGATACAAGAATCGTAACACTTAATCTCCTACAAAGCATCTCTGCACGTCAACGTCAGACCAGCATGCGGACCAGGACACAGCACGTGGTTGATGAGAAGGCAGGAATGACGGGGCTCGCTTACAGAAAGGAGGTTGAGGTCCACCTTTCTAGAATACATGCAAGAGAACAGCTTGTGTGAACCATTTCGTTACCAGGAACCACAAAATCAACTAAGTTTGAAGTTCCTGTTTAAAAACACAGACCATTTAATACAAAGAAAGAAAAATATTTACTACAGCAGATGAGGACTGCAGTATTAGTAAGTCATTTCATATCCAGTAGGATATGGCTACCATAAGTTCCCCTAACACGGTTTTGCTAACTCACTACATGAAAAGTTAAGACACTTCACCAAATAAGCCATGCTGGCACAAACAACATGGTACTGAAGGGGTTAAAAGGTTTTTTTGCAAATATGCAAGAAGGAAGCACTAGGAATAGTACATGAACAAATTCTATACCAACAACAACTTAATGCAAAACCAGCTTTCTGAAAATGTATTAACTGCTGACTAGGTTTTAATAAGCAGTTCCTGATAAAAAGACACACAGCTAAACCTCAGGATTTAAGAACTACCACATTCACTCACAGCAGCGAAGACAGAACAACAACTAAAAGCAAAAGCAGCAACTTTGCAAATGCACACAGCCGCCTTTTGAAGCCAAGCATGTGCTCAAGTTTATAGCATCTCATGGCATACATTTTGGCCCTTAAAAGTGGAAGTCATTAACCAGAAAAAGACAATTTTGCCTGGATATCAGATATTCTGCAATTGCAGATAGGTTCTGGAACAATCTTTCAACAGCTAAAAGAACACTAAAGACCTATTTTTGATCAGGAGTGTATTTCTATCACACGAGGGAAACGTTCCCGTGACAAGGCCACAGTCTTGGAGGGAACCTAAATTCGATGCAGGAATTTGGGGCAGAAAGAGCAATCAATATTTCACCCTCAATATACTCTAAATAAGTTATTTAACTGATATATTTTAAAAAAAACTATGTGTTTAGCATCAACTACATCATACAAAAGCACTTATTTCCCTAACCAAGTTTAGATGTGGCTTATCGAGCTGTTTTTCTTTAAAGAGCAATGGAGGATATCAAGACCTCCATTTGGATACACTAGAACAAGCCTTACATGACAATGCTTTCCCCTCAGACTGCACAGCTTTCGAAGGCAAAACCTCTAACAAAGCTCGAGGACAGAGGGAAGAGATTTATGTTAGGTGTCTTAATAAGACGCACTCTTCTGTCAAGTGCAACTACTTGGGGGGGGTATTAAAAAAAAAAACCAAAAAACAAACTAAAAAAAAAAACCAAACCAAAAAAGCAACCCCCCCAAAAAAACCCACATTACAGCCTTTGTAAGGAGCTGCGGACCTGTCACTGCGTTATTTTGGCCTATGGTATCTGTAGGGCATCACCAGGTCCACTCTGAGCAAGGCAAGGCTGAGGGGCGCATCCCTCCATATCAGCCCCGCTCCCAGGAGGGGCCACGCCCACCGCAGCAGCCCACCAATCAGGCAGCGCTGGGGCTAACCCTAGAAACAGGCTGGCCAATGGGTGCGGGAGGTGGAGCCCTCCCTTACCTTCAGTCTCCAGGTTTTGGGGGGGGTGTCTCACTGTGACAGCACTGACTGACAGGCAGCCCTCCCCCAGGACCCCACCCCCGCCTG